CCCTCCCGAAGTATAAGCCCCTCACGTATAAGCCCACCACGTATAAGCCCACCACAGGGATTCGAACAGCTCAGACGAGTGACGGTAATGACATACAGTATTATGTATAGGTTAACCAGCTTGTTTTATTATGTCTTATATACTGTATGTTTATGTTTCGTTTCGTTCCCAGTATAGTTTACAGGTGCAATAAATATCATTACTAACATCAAATGTAGTCCGTATATAAGCCCCCCCCCCCCTGTATACAGCCCACCCATGTATAAGCCCATCAAAAAATGTTTACGAACGAATGAAAGCCCAGGGCTATTTCAATAAGATTAGAAAGCCCGCATGTGACTGCATAATTTTTTCATGTATATTATTGGGCTGGTCATAATTTAGCAGGAGGGGTGGGGAAGTGGAAACAGTGGGGGGGGGTCACATATTTTTTTAGCCAGGAAAAAGGGGGTTCATAAAATATTAGACAGTTTATGAAGGCGGGGAGGAGGTCTGCTGTTTTAGTTCAATTAATTGTTTTATACATGCCTTCTCACATTTTGTTCTTCTCACATAAGAGGTGGGGGGGGGGGCATTATTTTTCCGGGTTATGGCAAAGCAGGGTCACAAAATATCATTCCTTAAAATTTTGAATTTCACCTCCCCACCCCCCCTGATAAATTATGACCAGTCCCTTAATAAGTAATAATATGGTTTCTCGTGCAATTTGGAAAAACATACACTTGCGGGTTTTTCAAGGACTTCAAATTGCACTCGTCCTTCGGACTCGGGCAATTTTGAGTATTTTGGTCGTGCATGAAAAACTCACTCTTGCATGTTTTTCCCAAACACTCGAAACCATAATGCTATTACCTATACTTACAGAATGCGTAATGATCTAACAAATGCCCTGGCCATTTATTAAACTCTCGTGGCAGAGCGGCGTATTAGATGATTAAAAATGTTCAAGTCCCAGTAACATTTCACTTATTATTACACCTAATCATAACTTTTATTATGTTCGGATAACATGTAAGCTCGATTTTCAAGATTCTTAATTATTGTCGCTGTTTAAACTACTTTAAGACGATAAAGTTTTAGAACCTCGTGAGCGGTTAAAGCTCTTTTAAACAATTTCATTTCGTCAATGTAGCCATGAAAATCATGATAGTGGTAATCGCCATAGCGATGATTTTTTCCACTATGACCAAGCACAACGTCGCTATTTTTGCTGACGATATCCCCATGGCAACACTCCGAGTCGGTTAACTTAAGGTGGTTGTTGAGGTAAAAATTGATAGTTTTGCCATCGTACGTCATAACCAGATGATGCCAATGATCAACAGCGGTTTCAGTTATCCTAGGCCAGGTTTTTGCCGAGTGTGACGTCACAACAGATGCACCAATAGAATGATCAGTATTAAGATATATTTCCCAACTACCTGTTCCATTGCTTACCAGACCATTGTTGATAAGGCCTCGGATATTCTTCTCTGTGAACCAAAATGCTTTGAACCAAAAGCTAACGGAGAACTTCGATCCCCATGGGTAACCATTTAGGCTTGGTACACGGAGTCTTGTTAACGTGTCACCTCCAAATCTGACAGCTGCATTCATTATGCCTGTTGGTGGCTGTTCAGGGAAAGATCCATCTTTCTGAGCGTTGTGGCCAAAGCAAACGTCTCGGAAAGATCGGTCAAACGTGTAATAGGCGATGACGTCTGCGCCACATGGGTCGGGTTCTATAATATGAGCTTAGAAAGAATGCACGCAGGTTATTATTTGATAATGATTTATTTATTTATTTATTTATTTGAATATATGCATTCATCCGAGTCTGAGTCTCATGATTCAAGTTTTAAGTCTGAGTCTCATGATACAAGATTTAAATCAACTTTAATACTTCATGAAGAAAACACAAAAGAAATCAGGATCATGAATGAGTCGCTGTGCTGATTAAATAACATTATTTTTCACCCTGCTCGGTTTCCTTTGTTCTTGTCGGGGAATATATTCAATATTCCCCTCTAATCAATTTCCGTTTAATAATCCCCTCTAATATTCACCTGCAATTAATAATCCCCTCTAATATTCACCTG